GCAGGGTCCACTATGAGTCGTTCACCACTGACAAAGAGAATCTGAGAGAGGGGGAAATACTGGAGCCAGTTTTCCAGGTGCAGAGCATAGATCCCTATTCGAATGGCACTCCAAGAGGCATCAATCAGCCCTAGGGTCCGGTTTTTGAAGGCCAGCACCTCGAAGGTGGGGATCTCAGGTTTCTTTGACAGTGTCTGCGTGTAGTCAGAGATGGCCCTGGTCACAGGGTTTCTCACTACCACAATCAATTTGATGTCCTTGGCCATGGAGTGAATGCGCTTGGGAGCATCATTTGTCACAAAGTAACTTGGAGTCTTCTCCATGGTTATCTGCCCATCCAGAGTCTTGGGCATCACATTTCTGGAAGAGAAAGAAAAAGGGAAGAGAATGATTATTCCTATCTACCAGAAATATTTTAACTTCTTTGCACAAAATGTGTGCTACAAATAACATAGTAAGAAGCCACCAAATTAAATTTATAAACACTTGGACCTTCTTTTTACCTGTATGCCCTGACTNTATTCAGCAGCCCTTGATGGGGGTGTCTGCAGACAGCCCTTGCCCTCCTTCAGCCCCCATAGACTTGCCCCAACAAGTGGAGACAGCCCTCTTGCTTTTGCCCCAATATATGCCATCTCTGGAGAGAGAGAATTAAGTAAGAGATGACCCTGAGGTGGCGGTGGTGGGGCAAACAGGAGAATGGTGAATGCTCCCTGTCCACTGTATCACTAAGGGTTATTCATAATAAGAGACATGCCAACTCTCTGGTCCTTATCCCCCTGGGGACCCTAGGACACAGAGCATACCCCCAAAGCATGTCTCAGAGCCATGGTGTTTGGGAGAGAGGGTCTTCAGGTAGGGAAACCTCCCACCAAGAGGACTGGATTTCTTCTTTCTCTCCCAGATATGTCCATTCACCTTTGCCAACCTCAGGGCTCTGAACTTGGCCACTCTGAGAGCAGCCTTGTTGGCCTGACTCTAACATGAGGGCATGTGCTGAGCTTCTCCACATCCAGGACATTCATGAGGAGAGAGACCCAACCCTCCCAAGAGGGCTCTTAGAAAGAAGGCTTCCAGGGGTGTCGGCTTTTTTTTTTTTTTTTTATGAAAACGTGCATGCCTCTGCCTTCATAATGTGGAGAGGAAGGAAGTCAAGGGGGTGTGGGATGAGGCCTTTAAAGAAAAGGCTAGAAATACCTTCAACGGAGGACCTTGCTCTCTAGGAGTCCTGGAGCACTCAACTGCAAACAATATTCTGGAGAGAAGCCAAAGCAGAGGTTTAAACAGCAGGTGCCTGAGCCAGATACAGGGCTAAATCCCAGGCTCCCCAAACTAAGTTGAGAGCCCCCATAAAATGGACCTTTATTATTATTGTTTTCCTTTTCTTTCTTTTTTTTTTTTTTTCTTTCACTCAAACATTCATGGCACTATCTCTGACATTGACAGCTATTTATCCTCTGTCTTGAAACTCTATTAACTAACAGAAGATAAGAATTAATGGTGGGTTCTGGTGGCCATCTGGTCAACCAGATACTGCTGCCCAGGCAGACCTGGTTCCTCCATGGGGAAGCCATGGGATCCACTGCTCTGCCTAAGCCAACAGCATGGAGGCAATCCTGACCAGATGGAGGAGGAGATCTAGTTGGCACCCCAGCAAGGCTGAAACTACAGAACCTGGGGGATTCAGGACTTAGGCAGGGAGCCTGCTTAGCTATTCACTAGCCTTCCCTCCACAGCTCTAGCCTCATTTATCACCCTCTTCCTGTTCCCACTGGAAATCTTGACCAGTCATTTGGTAAAACATCATGTTGAAGGGTTTGTAGAATTTCCGTAGTCTGTGGATGACATCTGGGTCGATGCGGGGATGAGTCCGACCTTTGCTCTTGCCTAAGCATCTTGGGGCACTGCTGTCTTCTGGCTTCTTTAGGCAAGGGAAACCCTTGGTTTTGTTGAAGTAGAAATGTTTCTCAGTCACAACACGCTTGAGGCCTAGAAAATCCTGTACTTTGGCCATTTCCCCGGCAGGGTCCACTATGAGTCGTTCACCACTGACAAAGAGAATCTGAGAGAGGGGGAAATACT